GCCACTCTGGGCCTGTCCACTGCCGTTCCAACATTCTGTCTTTTTTTTTTTTTTTTTTTAACAAATTTATGTTGCAATGTCCTCTTTGTATTCTTTCTTAAGTAATTTTACTATCTTTTGCTCTCACTTGATTTCTTCACATTGAGAACTTCTTCAGTTTCTTCCTCCTTGTCCTGGGAGCTCAGCAGGCTGGCCCGTGGCGCCTCTTTGTTCTCCTCGGCCTCCTGTGCGGCTTCAGCCTGTTGCCGAGGTCGGTGCCACCCAGGAAGCAGCCCCCGGCCTCGGCTTCATGGCCTGCGATCAGCGGTCAAGGGCCCAGCGGTACCTCCCCCCCGGGGGTCCTGTCACCTGGCTCCTTGCCAGTGCCAGGCTTGCTGGCGCCTGGCGGAGGCTCCCGCTCCTCCCAGCCCGAAGCCTTTGCCTCCTTCCCACCAGGGCAGTCTAGCATCAGAGTCAACAGTCCGTCCTCTGCGTGCAATGTGCCCTACTCTGGGGGCTCTGCCCCTCGCCGCTCCCCTGGGACTCTGCCTCACAGCCCAGGCTCCCTCTGTTTAAGCTGGGTCCCCAGGTTTTGGCCTAGAACTGGGGTTAAGAGCAGTCGGAACTGGGGCTCAGCACAGCCGGAGCTTTTGTTTCCTTCCTGCTAGGGCAATCTATCATCAGAGTCAACAGTACATCCTGTATGCTCAATGTGCACGACTCCAGGGGCTCTGCTTTTCACCGCTCCCCTGGGATCCCACCTCACAACCCCATCTCCCTCTGTTTGAGCCTGGGTCCCCAGGGTCTGGCTTAGAACTGGGGTTTAGCGCTGTCGGACTGGGGTTCAGCCCAGTCCAAAGCTTTTATTTCCTTCCCGCTCAGCCAGGTACTCAGCCTCCCCCTCCTCTCCGGCTCTGTCCTCTCAGCGCGTGCGCAGTGTGTCTCCGTACCTTAGAATTTTACAGCTCCTCTGATTTTCCTTCTGGTTTTTTCTTTTCTTCTTGTAGAATTTTCAGTCAGTCGACTTCCTGTAGCTCTAGGCAATGTCCATTTTATATTTTAGTTATATTTTATTGAAATTGTGTGTGGCTGTGGTTAGGTGTTTACCTGTGCAGCCATCTTGGATCCTCCCTCAAAGACTCTTCCTATGTGTCTTTTTTTTCAAAAATTTCTGTGGAAAATCTATTTTATCTCATTAAGTATCAGCCAATAAGTTCTAAAAACAAATTAATCATCTTGCTTGTTTATATGTTTGTATTTCATAATTAGGTATATGTCTGAGATTTAGTACTCAATTTAAAAAACAACATCATTTTGAATTGATGCTGCCCATTAAGGATCTATCATCATTTGTGAGGAAATAGTTTAAACTACAAGCAATCTGACAGTGCAGCAGGTATAGTTTCTGTACCCTAAAACCATTCCTCCCTGCCTCAAATACCATTTTGTTCTTTCTAAAAAATACGGTTTTGCTCCTTTTCTTCTCCTGCCCACACAGGGTGAGTGAGGCTGTAATCCCGGGTCCTCCTCATGTGTGGGAAGTAGGTGTGGGGAGGGGGAACTCTGGGAAAGTTTAGTTGCTCCTTATAGAAGCACAGAGAAACCACTCTGTTTTCCCGCCTTTGAAAGTTGTTGTGAGAGAGTAGGAGGCCTAAAGCTGCCTCAGGCATCATGCCCTCTCAGGGGAGCTGAGGTGCAATAGAGGGTGAGATGCCAAGTCCAGGTTCACTGGCAATGCCCTGGCCTCATGAACTGACCTACTCGCAGATGCCCCACCTGGGCTCTACCTTCCACGTACAATAAATACACGTAAGAAAAATAAAGCAAATGAGGCCGGATTTTCTACTAGCAGCAGAAAGCATCATCATCAAACTACACTTCCGTTCTACCTATAATTTCACACCCCAGGTCTAAGATAAAATGAGGCAACTCACTACATCTGAGATCAAAGCGAGAGTAAAGTTGAACCCTGGGTTTAAATAGAATTTATCTCAACTGCACGTATTGCCGATGTTACTATCAGCTTATTAAACTCCAGCACAATGATAACCTGTTTCACACAACTAATACTCAATGTAATTAAAATAGGCATAATCTTTTTTTCTTTTTTTTCTTTTAAAGAATTTTTTTAAGTATATTTTATTGATATTTTACAGAGAGGAGGAAGGGAGAGAGGGAGCTAGAAACGTCGATGAGAGAAACATCGACCAGTTGCTTCTTGCACACCCCCACCAGGGATGTGCCCGCAACCAACGTACATGCCCTTGACCGGAATCGAACCTGGGACCTTTCAGTCCGCAGACCGACGCTCTACCACTGAGCCAAACCGGTTTTGGCGAAATAGGCATAATCTTTAAAGTTGCTTAAAAATGAAATAACTGCCAAAACCGGCTTGGCTCAGTGGATAGAGCATCGGTCTGTGGACTGAATGGTTCCAGGTTCGATTTTTGTCAAGGGCATGTACCTCAGTTGTGGGCATACCCCGAGTAGGGGGTGTGCAAGAGGCAGCTGATTGATGATTCTCTCTCATCGATGTTTCTAATTCTCTGTCCCTCTCTCTTCCTCTCTATAAAAAATCAATAAAATATATTAAAAAATAAAAATGAAATAACTATCTCTGACAGTAGAGAAATTGAATGTACATCTGTCAGTTACTTACTCTTTGGATTTAGATTCACATTGAAACTGACTCTCCAGGTGAAACACAAGAGCAGAACCCACCATCTTCTGCCACATCAGTGCCTTCCCTGAAACCTGCCCAACTCCTTTATATCATTAAAGCCGATGGAATGAAGAACTATCTACTGGTTTACAGCTATAGTTTCACAATGCTTTATGCAAGGATCAAAAAAGCTTTGATTTTTAATTGTATATTTTTGTCAAGTTTATTTCAATTGTTAGTTTGCTTACCATTTTTATGTAATCTTTGAAAAGTTTTTATTTAAAATTTTTATCTATAATAATAAAGGCATAATATGCTAATTAGATCAGACATCCTTCCAGGCAACCTTCCAAACAAAGCCAGAGCTGCGAGGGGAGCCGGGTGCCAGAGGGAAGCAGGGACCAGCAGCTGGAGGAAGGAAAGCCTACTCTTGCATGAATTTTGTGCATCAAGCCTCTAATTATATATATTTTAAAGTTTCTCAAGAAAAAATTATTAAATATGTTAACAAAAATCTAGCTTTTATCCCTGCCCTCATCAGCCCTTATTTTGCCCCATAGGCAATCACATTTTTAAGTTCTCTATTGTTTCTGTCTGCACTAATAAAAGAGAAAAATTTAAATTGACTGCACCTCTACGATGCCCATCAGCCAATCAGGAGGGAGTATGAAAATTAACCCAACAAAGATGGCAGGTAATTTGAATATACACCTAGCAGCAGTGGCAGGGCAGGACGCAGGTGTATCGCACTGCCCCAGCAGCTCCGGGGCCTCTGGGAGTGTGGGAAGGCAGAAAGGCGGGTTGTGGCCTGAGGAGGGTCTGAGTGAAGTCAGAAAGGCAGCTCCAGGCCAGAGCAAAGGTGGAAAGGTGGCTCCAGCTGTAACCAAGGAGGTGCCAGCAGCCAGGGAAAGTAAGGCCTATTCTTGCGGGAATCTTCCTGCAACAGGCCTCTAGCTTATAAAGATAAAGAGAAAGGATAAGCATGGCTCTATGTCCTATTCTCCTCTATTTTATTTAAAACATACCTGTGTACTATGCAAACTCTGCTGCTCCTGCTCACGCGCACGGGGAGGCCCCTCACGGAGCTCACCCGCTCCCTCAGTGCGGAGGCTTGCATGCTGGTGGCCCAGCAGGGAGCCACCCGCCCCCTGGGTGCCCAGCAGGGGCCCTGGTTGGAGCTCAGAGAAGGCCACCCAGGGTTTCCTGGGACAGACAGGGAGTTTGCCAACACGCTGGAGGCCTCAGAGGCGCACCTTTCCCACTAGAGGTGCTGCTCTGACCTGGTGGCCTCGGGGACCGACTCATGGGGAAGGTGCACCTCAGCGCAGAGTCAGCACAGCACACGTTTATCTGAGACACAGAGACTGAGGTGTGGAAGCCATCAGGAGACTAACACCGTAAAAGGGGGCTGCAAGAGTTATCAGGTTTAGATACTTTCTTTTAAAAAATCAGGAAAAAAATAGGATTAAAAAGTTATGGCTCCACTGGTGTGGCTCAGTGATTGGCATTGGCCTATGGACCAGGAGGTCAGAGTTCAATTACCTGTTGGATACCTGCCCAGGGTTTGTGGGCTCGATCTCTAGTAGGGTCATGTAAGAGGCAGCTAATCAATGATTCTCTCCTGTCTCTCCCTCTCTCTTCCTCTCTGAAATCAATAAAAAATTTTTTTGTGTGTTTTTTTTTTAATGAAATTGTAAAAGCATGGCATCCTTACAAGTGTCCTGGGTTTCTTACACTTGCTGTCCCCTCTCTGCATCCCTGGGGAAAGGAACCTGTGGGTGGTCTTTGAGAAGCACCAACGTGGAGACCACCGTGTTCAGTCCATTGCAGGCTCTCTCCTGGCTCAGGAACCAGGCCGATTACAGGATGGAAAACTCTTGGAAAGCTGGACAGGAACAAGGAAACCTTCCAGATGCCCACATGACCAGATTCAGGAAAACAAGTGAGAACTATTGTGTTGTGTTGTGTTGTGTTGTGTTGTGTTGTGATGAGATCCTCTCTTTATCATTTCTTCCTACTTCCTGCCCTTTAAGCCTGTGAGTGGATGATTTCACTCCATTTTTAAATGAGGAACATTTTATTAAGAAATGTGGGCAGAAGTGAGCTAAGGTGCACAGCAGACAGCGAGGGTTGAACACAAAGGAACAGAGAGGATGGAGCTGAGGCTCTGCAGCCAACACTGGGCCTCCAGGTCCAGGGCAAGGAGGAACCAGCAGGGAGGAGCAGCTGCGGGATAGGATCCAGGACCAGCCAGAGCCCAGGCTGCTCTCCTTGTGGAGTGAGGGCCCAGCAGGAAACCTCTTCAGGCGGAGAAGGGTCTGACAGAAGGGTCTTTCCTGCCCCTGTGGCCATGGCCGCCTCAGCTCAGGAGCCCTGCAGACAGAGCACAGTGCAGTTCCCAGGCCCAGCCAGCAGGGGCGCTGCCCTCCCAGGCCTCCTGCTGTGGCTCCCAAGTGAGAAGAAGGCTCCGAGGCCACAGGAGGCAGAGCTGCTCTAGAGCTGCCTCTCACCAGCAGGAGGAGGCTTTGCCCTGTGGGCGGGGCCAGAGCCACCCCAGGCTCCCCTCTCTGTCCCCTGGCTCCTCCCCTGCACCTTCTGGTCTAGGGAAAGCCAATGGGTCCCTAAGAGGATTAAAGAGCCTTACCTGTGGGCTGAAGTCCAGAGTGTCCTGGGAAGAGAAGGAAGATGCTGCTTAAACATAGGAAGGTAAGTGTGACCCAAACACAGGGTCCCCGCCCAGGCCACCTGAGCTTCTCTGGCAGCACCCGCACCCGCTGACACCAGAGCAGAGCCCAGAGCAGAGCCCAGAGCAGGGGCCCCGAAGCCCTCAATCCAGAGTCCTCAGTGACCGCAGGGCCTGCTCCTCCATGTGCTCCTCCATGTGCCCCAGGATCTGCACCCAAAGCCCATGCGTGTGAACCTTCAATTTTCAACTGAGATCTGGCAGTAATGTAAAAAGGTTTAACAAAATAGAATGTATGTGAGGTAAACTGCCACAACTCTAAAGCGTTAACATGTCATTACTTCAGTACTGTCAGCACGTGTGGATGTCACCTCAGTGTGTGAGGTCACAGAACTACAGTGTGGAGCCTGGTCCCATCACCCCTGTGTCCACAGGTGCAGGAAGGGGAACAGACACTCAGACTACAGGAGCTCAGAAAGGCCAGGGGCCCCGAGGCTCCGCCCTCACGCCCAGCCTGACCCTCCCCCAGGGAGAGGCTGGTGCACCCAGCACCCCTATTCCAGGGCTCAGGGTGAGGGGGTGGGGGTGGGGTGGGGTGGGGGAGGAGGCGCGCGGGGGTGGAGAGGGGGTTTGGCCAAGAGAGACCTACTCCCTCCTCCCACCTCCCGCCCTCCCCTCCGCTCCCCAAACCCTCCCCCACTGGACACGGTGGGCACCCCGGAAACGCCCCGACACAGGACAGAACTTCAGGGTCCCCACGGCCGCCCCCAGGCCCCTCAGGTGCCCCTCACAGCCCTGGGTGCGCCCCCCGCCCCCCGCCACCTCTCCCTCCCCCTCCGCCCCCGCTCACTTTGCCGCTGCAGCAGGTACTCAGCCACCCCGTAGTTGTGTCTGCACAACGTGTCCACCCTGGCCCGCCTATCCTCCATGAGGTCCTTCTGTCTGTTCCAGTATGGGGCATCAGGCCGCCCCAGCTCCGTCACCGCGCGGAACTCCCCCATACTCCTCCTGGTTGTAGAAATATCTCTCCAGGTACCGCACCCGCTCCGTCCCGTTGGAGAAATGACACTCGGACTTCACCTGCTCCAGGAAATGCGCTGCGGGGACAGGAAGGACCAGTCAGGCGGGTGAGAGACTATGGCGCCGCCGCCCAGCCCGGGGCGCCCCGGCGGTGCGGACACAGGACCCGGCACCCACTGCCAGCACCCGCCCCCTCCCCGGGGGCTGGAGGGAGGCCACAGGCAGGGGGCCCCCTGGGACCTCAGCTACTGGGACCCACTGGGCTTCCCGCGGGGCTCCGGGCTCCGGGCTGGGCGAGGACTGTGCCATCACCGCCTCTTCCTAGACCCCCCTCCCCCCCAGCCTTTCCCGATCCCACACCCGCCTCCTCCTGTCACCCCCTGTGCAGGGGATCCCTTGCCAGGCCCAGCTGCCCCGGGTCCAGGCAGGAAACCTGGCATCGCCCTCCGCCCTGAGCTTAGCATTCACCAAAGTGCGGGCACAGCCAACCCCAGGCGGGTCACACAGGAGGGAGATGTCAGGGAAGGGGGTCTGGAGCAGGGACAGCAGAATCCCAGTTCCCTCAGGGCGGGGCCAGTGGCCTGAGGGACAGGAGGTGGCCTGAAGGGTGTGTGTGTGTGTGTGTGTGTGTGTGTGTGTGTGTGTGTGTGATGGGGGGAGGGACGTTTCAGGGGAAGGCACTGCCACCTGCGAAGCCTGAGGGAACCCATGGCCTCCTGGGAACCAGAGACCCGGCTCTGAGCCCAGACAGTGGGCGGAGGGGCCAGAGCCTGGAGGAATCAGGGTGCTGGGAGCCTGGGGGTGAGTGAGGGGGCCTGCTGCTCCCTGTAGCGGAGAGTACTGACGAGCTCAGGGGAGAGACATGGAGGTCAGCAGACAGGCAGTGACAGAACTCATGGCGTTTGGACTAACATCGCATAAGGCCAATAAAAAGGAAGGTTTTAAACTTCAAGTGACTGAATGGATTCAACAAGGAAGTGGTGAATTTGTGTAACTGTCTAGTTTTTTCTTAATAAACCGCCAAGAGCTGCACTGGAAGGTGCGTGTGTATGAAGGTGAGTCTAGAATTTTCAGAAACAGCCCGTGTCCAGCAGTGTTCCCCACCTCAGCACTGTTCTGTGTGGGTGGGGCAGGTGCTCTGTACACAGTGGGCTGCACACGGCATCCCACCAGCTGTCAGAGAAACCCCTGACACTGGAGTGAAAAAAACACACAAAACACTGTTGATTACGCAGCAGCTGGGAATTACATAGTAAGTTCTACCAATATATCTATTGAAAATCTTGCACTATATGAAATGTATATATTTTAAAAATCTGGTTCCAGTGCCGAGTAATTTTTTTTTAGCAAAATAAATGTTTTCAGAACCAAGATACCTGTTTCTTTGCCTTGCTACCCAATCAGCAAGTCATCATTTATCCTCCACATCATCTTCTTCTTACTCTCCCGGCCACTGGCCACTGCTTGTCTGCAGCAGCAGCTACAGCCACAGCCATTTGATTCCATTTAAAGTCCCAACTAATCCAATTTCTAACTGCCTCCTGCTCCCAGTAATACCAGGAGGCATCAGGTTGCCAGCCTTGGCCGATGTGGACTCTCACGTCTGCAGGCAGGTCCCTCAGGAGGGGAGCAGCTAAGATGACACCCTCACAGAGACAGGCTACAGAAAGGAGCAGGCCCAGCTTAGATGGAGACCTTCACGTGGAAATGATGGCAGAGGGGAGGGCACTCTGGTCAGAGCGGGTCTGTCTAACTTTTCACAAATTCTCTAGCGCCTTCCTGACACGTGAGAAGGATAAAAAGAAAAATGTGTGAGTTGTTCACTGTAGCCGGTGTGGTTGGCATATCAGGCCATGCTCAGGGGCCCAACTGAAAAGCAGCCAGATAAAGCAAATACAAATACACGATTCCCAGCACATTTGGATTTTGGATAAGTAATTGCTGTTTCTCTGAAATTCAGCTTAAATCGGGCATCCTGTATTTCCTTTGGCAACACAAGCCCACCTGCTGGCAAAATCTGAGGCAGAGGAGTGGACTTAAACTTCTCTGTGTTTCTCACATGCTCACAACACAGTGTGAGCCCATATGGAAGTTTTCAAGTTGTAAATGCAAAATGGATGTAAGTTCCTCCTGTTATTGGAACCAGCAGCCCTTGCCCCTGCTGCCCCAGCCCTGAGACACACGCTGGCACCTGGGAGCATCAGCAATCTCAGCAGCCAGTCAGACCAGGCCACGCCACTGCTCACAGTGGGGGTAGAAGCCCAGCCCTGGAATGAGGATCTACATTAGAGAATTAGCTCTTCCACTGGGTCAGATGGCAACACCAGGGGCCTTGATCTTTATCTCCAAAATAGATTTAATGGTACTGCAGTCCTCACAGGATATTGTAAGTGTGGAATTACATAGTGACTCTTCCTCGTGCTGATCATATAAGACCTCAATTAATAGCTTGCTATTTTTAATATCATATTCCCTAGGGATGTAATTTTCTATCCCTTAACTTCCTAGATAAAATGATATCTTCATCACCATTTGGCAGTTGTCTTTTATTAATTTTATCATGAAATATCATTTTGCACACACGGACAGAAACATTGGTCTCTGTATATAACGGGATATACACGCCCCTAATATGAAAGGACTATGCTGAGGTAGAAGAGAGAACTTTCTAGATACCGAGGCCTAGACTATGTGACCTGGTTCTACAGCTAACCTTGTGACTCTGGGTCAGTGGCTTAAACTCTCTGAATCAGAGTCCATGGTCATTACATCTGAAATTGCTGCAGGGAAGGTGGGAGGGTTATGAGAGTCACACACTCACAGGGAGGCCCGGTGCACCATGTGACGGTGCTCCACGCCCGAGGGACCAGGTTTGTCTGGTCCATAACTCCACCCTCATCACTGGGCGGTGTCTGGATCCCTGATGAACCGTGGCTGTGGATCTGGTGGCTTTCATAACCAGTCACCTCTGCCTTCAAGGTCACCCAGTGGCTCCTTGCTGATGACTGAGCAGCTCTGGTTCTTTGTCCTCCAACTTCTCTTCAGGCTCCTTTGTCTTTATGCTTTATGTCCACTGACCCTCTGAGCCCAGCGCACAGTCTCCCTGAGGTCCCAGCTCAGAGTCACCGTAATCATCCCTCAAGTCTTCAGCTCCTGTCCTCTCTTCAAACGGTCCAATCAGGTTTCGTCTCATACACTCCACTGACTGGAAACTTCATGCCCACCAAACCCAGTGCTCACTGCTCTGCATGTCCTCACTTCCTGCCTCCTAGCAATTCTCCCCACACCTGGCCACTCCCTCCTTCTAGATAAATGTACTCCCCTCACTGCCCTGCATCACCTTCTCTTGGATTTCCTCAGTCCCCTTTGCTGACCCATTGGCTCTTGGTCTTCTGGGATCAACCCTTGGCTTCTTTCACCTTCTTCTCCTCTTTCCTCCTCTTCCTCCTCCTTCTTCTCCTGTTTCGCCTCCACTTCCCTGGAGTTTAACACAGCACATGTGTCAATGACACCAACACAAACATCCCCTGTCCTGGCCAGCCATGACCTCTAGGTACCTGTGTTTAATTGACCTCTTGGCAGCTCTACACAAATGTCAAGAAATCATTTCCATCTTACACAGAACCTTTCTTCTTCACCACCCTATTCAAACTACTTCTTACACAGTCCT